AACTGGAAATCATGTAGCAATGAAAAAATAAAAGGAGCCTAGGCTCGACATGTTATGTGATTTTTAAAAATTCTTTAGAAAGCCCACAAATCAGTCCTCTTTGAGGGTTATTCTAAAAATAAACAGAAACACATTTGCTATTTATAAAATATAGAAACTCTATGGCAAAGTTTTTTCAGACGAGCATGGCTTGACCAAGATTATCAGGGAATTTTTGTAGTTGAGTGGGGATTCATTTTCTAGTCTAGTCCAAGAATCAAACCACCACACCTTACTGTCTCTAAAATGTATATATTCTATATATATGCATAGATTCACATTTAAAAATAATGTCTATATTTAAATAGAAATACAATGCAATAGATTTCAACATTGTGGGGGGAAAGTTGATTAAATATCATCAACAGCAATCATACTCAAAATGGAGGTCTGTGTATCAGTGGTGGTCTGTTGCATATAATGAACCCATAGCTGTTAATATAGTAAGCAGCAGATAAAATTCTGCAATGTATATAACCTCCTGGTTACAGTGTTATGAGGAGTTAGGAACAGGTAAGCCAGTTTAGTTTCTGTTGACTAAAGTTGCCCCAACTTTGTATAGGATAAGGCTGTTAATGTGTAACAATTAGGCAGATGTATAAATGGTACACACAGCAAAACATCCTTATACATAGGGGATACATTCCAAGATACTCAGTGGTTACTTATTTACTTATTTATTTATCATGTCAGAAGTGAACTGAGGGTACAGTTGTATTTATTAACACAAACAAAGTTTTAAAACTTGGCATTATACTAAACGTCCTTTGACCAGTAGCTGGCCAGTTGGAGTGCCTTGGTGTTGCAATAAGAAGGTCCTCCATTGTGCATGTGACAGGGCTTAGACTGCATTGTAATAGGTGGTCTGTGGCTTGCTCTTCTCCACACTCGCATTTCTTAAGATTAGCTCTGCATCTAGTGGTGCCAAAGTGCCATCTGTTCAGTGCCTTCAAAGTCTCTCAGTGTTCTGTGTGCCCAGGAGGGAGTCTCTCGTTCGATATCAGCCATGGCTTGAGGTTCCAGGTTTTAGCCTGCCACTTTTGGACTCTCGTTTGCTGAGGTGTTTCTGCGAGTATCTCTGTAGATCTTATAAAACTATTTCTTGATATAAGACATTAGCGTACTGACTGATACTCAAACAGGGAATGGGCTGGAGATGTCACTGCCTTGGTCCTTTCATTGTTGGCTGCTACTTCCTGACGGATGTCAGGTGGTGCAATACTAGCTAAAGAGTATAATTTCTCCAATGGTGTGGGGCATAGACATCCTGTGACAATGTAGCATGTCTCATTAAGAGCCATATCCACTAGGCCTGGGTAACAACGGAAAAATTTGTTTCTAAAATCGATTTGTATTTGGGGGGTTTTTTTGTTTCGATATTTAAAATAATTACAAAATTTTCCCTTAAAAAAGTTCGATATTTACGAAATTTCGTAAATGTGAAAAAAATTACAAAACATTAACGAATCGATTTCCGAAACAATAACGAATCGATTCGTTAATGGCGGACGCGACCGCGAAATACGCTAAAAAACCTCCAAAAACTTCTGAAGCTTCCCTCTCCCTCTGTTGTTGACTGTTGGTGTGATATTATAATTTTTTTTCACTAATTAAACAAAAAACTTGCCCCAGACATGCGGAAATAATAACGAAACGACCTCAGAACAATAACGAAACGAATACAATAACGAAATACGAAGCATTTACAAAACTTTTTAAAAATTTGTTTTTTTAAAAATTGCGCCAGAATGGTTCGTTATTGTTTTGTAACTGAAAAAATTAACGAATTATTAACGAATTACGAATTAACGAAACGAAACCGCCCAGCCCTAATATCCACTGTTTTAATGTGGTGAGATGTGTTCCACACTAGGCATGTGTACTCAGCAGCAGAGTAGCAAAGTGGAAGGGCAGATGTCTTCCTGTGTCTTGTTGTGATCTCCAGGTTGAGCTAGTCAGCTTTCATATGATACTATTTCTAGCGTCCACTTTTTTGCTTGATAGTCAAGCAATGCTTCTTGTAAGTCAGAGCATGGTTCAGGGTAACTTCCAAGTATTTTGGTGTGCTGCAATGTTCCAGTGGAATTCCTTTCCAGGTAATCCAAAGAGCTCAAGATGCTTGTCTGTTCTTAAGGTGAAAAGCACACGTCTGTGTTTTAGATGGATTAGGAATCAGCTGATTTTCCCTGTAATAGACAGTAAGATCACCTAAAGCTTCAGAGAGCTTCTGTTTGACTATTTCAAAACTCCCTGCTTGGGCAGTGATGGCACATGGCCACTTAGATGAAATTCTCTGTTCCTTCTGGCAGAGGCTGATCATTTGTGTAATAATTTGTGTAACATTGATGGAGCAAGCATGCTCCCCTGAGGCAGGCCGTTCTTCTGTCTTTGCCATCTGCTTCTCTCACTCTGGCATTCAACAAAAAAGCTCCTGTTTTGTAGCAGATTTCCTATGAAGTGGGTGAGGTAGTAGTCCTTTGTGATATTATAAGTTTTTTTCTCAGGAGAAGGCAATGATTTACAGTGTCTTAAGTTGCCGACAGGCCTTTCAAAACCATCTTCTATATGCTGAGTGAGGTTCAACACAGGTTCAACTGGTGGTTGCTGGAAATCATGGATAATAGCAAACCCTATATTTTAACTTTACTTGGGCTGGAAGGATACAGATTCACAATGGAGAACCTAGAGAGGTCCACAAACACTTTGAGGGGTGGGGGTGGAGTTTGATAATTGAAACCATTGATATTGAATTTGACATACAATACATGTTAATTTCTTTTGTTTTTCACTCAAAGTCAGCATGAAAAAGAATGAAAGAATCAAACCAGCTATTAATTCAGCAGTAGTTGGGAGGTTTTAGGAGGAGGATGGCTTGGTAGAAGTAGATATATGCTCAAGGAATAATTCTCTTTGGAAATCTTCCCGTTCACCTTACCAGAGTTTGATATTTTTAGCCACATCATTTACTATATAAACCCAACATCTATGTGATTAGATTCCTCCTCCCCTCCCCATGTTCTTGGCGATGCATTGTAATACGGCATTTCAGTGACTCTTTTTTATGCTGCGGGACATTCACTTCTCAAAGCAATCATCCTAAGAAAGATATCTGGCAAGAAGGGATAGCATCCATTTAATTTTAACATTGCTATTGTTCTTGACTACATTTTGATTGGTCAGCCTGATGCACAAAAAAATTCTTTGGTTATATCTGTGTCTCTCTGAATGCCTATTGTGAGCAAGAGCAATCCAGGGTCACTGCCCTTTAAACACTGCCAGTCAGATCTCGGGAGAGAGAAGATATGTTAGAACTGCCAGTGATGAGAAAATGTGGTTAAGGAAGCAAACAGTTTTCAATTGAAAAATTACAATTCTCCTGGAGGTGCTCTTCCTTTTTCCTTTTTCCTTTAAAGTACCATCTTATGAAAGAGGTATTCTGTTTTTGACTGCAGAAAGACCTGGGTGGCATTTTAGTTTCTAGCAGGGAAAATATAAATCATATATTTAAAATAAATATATATGTGAAATAGTATACAAATATTAGTGCTTTCCAAATGTAACATAATCAAGACTCCTTCCTAAAATGTGTGTGTGGAGTTGGAAAAGGGTCAAATATACATGGGTACACTATCTTTTGCTCAACAGTGAATATTGCACCTAAGTAGATTGAGAAGAAGGAGTGCTGCCGTACTACAAAACCCACCACTCCCTGACCATAAAGTCCTGGTTGCAATCTAGCAGCACAGGAGGGCGGTAGTATTAGAGCAGGCATGGGCAAACTTCGGCCCTCCAAGTGTTTTGGACGTCAACTCTCACAATTCCTAACAGCTAGCAGGCTGTTAGGAATTGTGGGAGTTGAAGTCCAAAACACCTGGAGGGCTGAAGTTTGCCCAATCCTTCAGAGAAACTAGAAGAGTAAAACTAGCTCAAAATATTTTGCTGCATGAAGTGAGCAAGAGTCCCTCTTCGTCCTCATTCCATGTATAGGAGTCAACCAGACTGTAGAATCTTACAAGATGAAACAGACCCTTCAATTGTACCCAGAACATGGAAATAATATTTTGGAAAACTAACATGTCAATGTTAGCAATCTCAAGTGTCTTCACATTGCATGTTTCATGCAACATAATCTATTAGTGGCTGAGCATCCCTTATCCGGAATTCCAAAATTTGGAATAATCCAAAATTGTCCACATTGGATGGCTGAGATATGGATATTTTTGCTTTCTGATGAGTTAATGTACACAAATTTGGTTTTCTGCACAATATTTTAAAGCTATGTGTATATGGTAGATATGATACACAAATGAGTTTTGTGTTTAGACTTTGTGTCTAAGACAACTCATTATATATGTATATGTAAGTAGAAGTATTCCAGAATCCAAAATCTAACGCACTTCTGGTCCCAATAATTTCAGAAGAGTGATGCTCAACTTGTATATTACTTGTTAGTAACATACCAGTTACCAGAGTCATTGGGAAGCAGGGTAGAAGTTGTAACTTTTTATCTTAACCATGTAGAACAACGGTTCTCAAAGTGTGCTCCGCAGAGCCCATAGAGCTCCACAAAGTACAGTCAGGTGCTCCATGCTTTCCTCCTCCTCCCCTCCCCCCCCAAGCATGTGAAGCGGTGGAAGGAGGCACCCATCAGCTGGTTGCTCCCCCACGACAAAAGCGTCTTATTTTGAGTCTATTGACTTTATAATAATACGATATAATATTTTTATATTTCATATTACATGTAATATTACTAATAATATTACAGTATAGTAGTATAGTACAATATATAATACTAATATTGTACTATGCTAATATAATATATTACATGTACATATAACTTGTAAGCTGCTCTGAGTCCCCTTTGGGGTGAAAAGGGTGGAATACATGTTGTAAATAAATAAATAAATAAAAGAAATAAAATTTGAACCATATTTGAAAATGCTCTCTTTTCTCCTCCACAGATGGTACTAGACAGGAAGAAGCTGAAGGTGAGCTTAGCGAAGAGGAGCATTGGTATGGAAACTCCTCAGAAACCCCATCGGAAGCATCTTATGGAGAGGTCCAGGAGAACTTCAAATTGTCCTTTGAGGACAGACTTCAAGAACAGTCCACATCTCCAGACACTTCCTTGGGAAGTGCAACTCCTAGCAGCAATACATTGGAGCTGGCAACGGTGGAGAATGAGGCTGTACGGGATATGTTACAAAACAAAGAACACCTTTCTCCTGGTGTGTCTTCTGTGTGCGAAGATGACACTCCTGGTTCAAATAAGCCACTGAGTAGTAACTTGAGACGTCTGCTGGAGGCTGGTTCTCTCAAGCTAGACACTAGTATAAGAGTGAACGGCAGGGTTGAGTCCCCTGTAAATCTAGGCTCAAATATCTCCTTTTCTCCACCTACCCATCATGCTCAGCAGCTAAGTGTCCTTGCTAGAAAGCTAGCTGAAAAACAGGAACAAAATGACCAATACAGCTCAAGCAACCGGTTTATATGGAATCAGGGCAAATGGTTGCCTAACTCAACTCCCCCTTGCAGCTTATCTCCAGACTCTGCAATCCTAAAACTGAAAGCAGCTGCCAATGCAGTCCTTCAGGATAAGTCACTTTCTCGAACTGAAGATCCAATAAGGTTTGAAACCTTTTCTTCCCCATTTAGTTCGCAGTCTGCAAGCTCCACCTTAGCGGCATTATCAAAGAAAGTCAGCGAAAGAAGCATGACTCCTGGGCAGGACCACCCACCGCCAGCTAGCTCTTTCCTTTCTCTCGCCTCAATGACTTCTTCGGCAGCTCTGCTTAAGGAGGTTGCAGCCAGAGCGGCAGGCAGTCTTTTGGCTGAGAAGAAAAAGTCGCTGGTTGTAGAAGATCCCCTGCAGCTTTCAGACATGAAGCAAGAGAAAGTAACTCCACCGCAGTCTTTGGAATTATTGTTACTCCCAGCCCCTAAAGGAAGAACTTCTAAAACCACTAACCCAGGTATGGGTTGTTTTGCTCTAGGTTAGGATATATTTCTCCATTATTAATTCCGAATTGATTCAGTGTCTTTTAAAAATTTAAATTGTGTTTTTTTAAGCACACATCAATAGAAGTTAGATGGGGGGGTGGGAACAGCACAATCAGACTAGGATACATCTTCCTTGCTGTGTTGTCATCCTCAATACACATTGTATAGGACTTCTTGCTTTAGTTGAACATATTATTTGAGTTTGTTTGTGGATTTTATCTTGCCTTTCTTGAGGCATATATACGGTAGTTCAATCCCACCTTCCGTTTTATTATGGCAGCAACAATGTAAGATAGATAATACTGAATGAGAATGACTGGCCCATTCTCATTCAAGGTAGTTGTTCATTTGATGAATGAAGAACTGAACCTAGTGCAGCACTGTTAATTTTTCTACTGATTTTCTAGTAAACTAACCGAAAGGTTGCAGGTTTGGATCCAGGGAACAAGGTGAGCTCCTGCTGTTAGCCCCAGCTTTCGCCAAACTAGCAGTTCAAAAACATTCAAATGTGAGTAGATCAATAGGCACCCCTCCGGCAGGAAGGTGCTCCATGCAGTCACGCCAGCCACATGACCTTGGAGGTGTCTACTGACAACGCTGGCTCTTCAGCCTAGAAATGGAGATGAGCACCAACCCCCAGAGTCGGATATGATTGCACTAAATGTCTAGGGAGAACGTTTACCTTTCTATTAAAATATCAATTTATTTCTTAAATAAGATTTACGTAGGACTGGCTCTACGCAGGTGAAGTGCCACATACAGAGCCTGGTTTGTTTTGTGTGTTATATGTATACCCTACACTTTCCTCTGAGTTCTGAACAGCCAGTTTTTGAGATGGTCTTCCATCCAAGCAGTCTATGCTAACAAACCTGTTGAATGTGTTGTCAAAGGCTTTCGTGACCGGAAAAACTGAGTTGCTGTGAGTTTTCCAGACTGTATGGCCATGTTCCAGAATAATTATTTCCTGGCGTTTCACCTGCATCTATGGCAGGCATCCTCAGATGTGGTGGGGTCTGTTGGAAACGATAGACAATTGGGGTTTATATATCTGTGGAATGTTCAGGGTGGGAGAAAGAACTCTTGTCTGTTTGAGGCAAATGTGAATGTTGCAATTGGCCATCTTGATTAGCACTGAATAGTCTTGCAGCTTTAAGGTCTGACTGCTTTCTGCATGGGGTATCCTTGTTGGGAGGTGTTAGCTGGCCCTGATTGATTCATGTCTGGAATTCCTCTGTTTTCTGAGTGTTGCTCTTTATTTACTGTCCCGATTTAAGGTTTTTTTTTAAAAAAAATACTGTTAGCCTGATTTTGTTCATTTTCATGGTTTCTTCCTTTTTGTTGAAATTGTCCACATGCTTGTGGATTTCAGTGGCTTTTTTGTGTAGTCAGAAATGGTAGTTGTTAAACTGGTCCAGCATGGCTGTGTTCTCATATAATATGCTGTGTCCAGGATGGTTCATCAGGTGTTCTGTTATGGCTGACTTCTCTGGTTGAATTAGTCTGTAGTGTCTTTCATGTACCTTGATTCGTGTTTGGGCAATACTGCATTTAGTGGTCCCTATATAGACTTGTCCACAGCTGCATGGTATACGGTAGCACTTGATGAACCAACGTGGACACAGCATATTATTTGAGAACACAGAAATGCTGGACCACTCTTAACAACCACTATGTCAGACTACACATAGAAGCCATTCTAGAGGAATTCTAGACCTGAATCAATCAGGGCCAGCTAACACCTCCCAACAAAGGATTCCCCCAGCAGTAAGCAGCCAGACCTTGAACCTGAAAGGCTATTCAGTGCTAACCAAGCTGGCCAATTGCAACACACACACTTGCCTCAAATAGACAAGAGTTCTTTCTCCCACTCTGGACATTCCACAGATATATAAACCTCACTTGCCTTATTTCCAATCGAAATAAGGTAAGTGGCAGAAATCCTCACAACCTTTGAGGATTCCTGCCATAGATGCAGGCAAAACATTACAAAAGAATGCTTCTGGAACATGGCCGTACAGCCAAAAAACTCATAGCAACCCAAACCTGTTGAACGTCAGTAGTAAAGCTCCCTTCTGTGTCTTTCAACCAGAGAGATAAGCAATCTGGAGCCCTTCGGATGTTTCAAATTAAAATTCCCATGATCAACTCTAGACAGCATGGTTAGCGGTCAGAGATTATAGAATCTGTAATCCAGCACAGGGATATGCACCAGGTATTTATCTCTGCTTTAAACCAGAGCTATTCTCTTGCTCTTTTAGCCATTACATTTTTACACAGCTTCTTCCCTTGTATAATTAGATTCTATGACCTCTTATGTGCAACGTCCTTCTCTAGCTCAATGGGTTTTTAAAACCTCATCAGATCTCTTACCCATTGATTGTATCACTGCCTTCACACCTACTTCTTTGACCTGCCTCTCTATCTTTAGTCTTCATAGATGTGGTTTCTTTATTTACATTTAATGTATACTCTGTATTTTTTTTACCTTTGATACTTTTGAAGAGGTCAGTGAGCATGCTGTTCTATTGCTAAAAACTGCAGGGCATGTTTTCTTCATGGAAGAACTGCTGGCCTGAATCCTCCTTCCTGTCCCTACTAGAGTAGTCCCATTGATTTAATAAGAGCCTGGTTGCATTGGGTCTGTTCTGGTTGAAACTCAGCCATAGAGTTCAAGCCTCGGGCGGTATACAAATACAGCAATAAATAAGAAGCCAGTGGTTATAAAAAGAGTTATACAGCAGCATGCTATATATGAAACTGGGGCAAATGCCCATATCAAATTTGGACAAAATCCAGCTATCCAGATTTTATGGCAATCTTATCAGTAAGCTCCCTGATACTATCTTGAACTGTATGCCTGAAACATATGACCCACTTACTCTGCAAAAGCTACTTCCAGACCCATTTTTCTTAGAAGCTTTTTAGGCCCAGACATGACATGGTAGCCATCTTACTTGGCCCTGGTCCTGTTCAAATGATGATGATGATGATGATGATTTAGTTATTACCCGCCTCTCCTTGTGGCTCGAGGAGGAGTACAGCATTAAAACAGTGAGATAAAACAAAACACTCTTAAAAACCATATAACAAACATAAAATACAGATTAAAATTCATCCTGCAGGTTAAAATTCACAAGTTCACATTGACTGGATAGGCCTGCTCGAAGAGAGAGATCTTCAGTTGTGTTTTTAATAGCTGATTTAGCTATTGGAGCTCTTCTGGCAGGTCATTCCACAGTCTTGGGGTGGCTGATGAACAGGTCCTCTGGCTGACAGTCGCCAGTCAGGTTTGTGGTGGAATGTAAAATAAACCACGTGTAGTTCACGTTTGATTAGCCCATACACTTCTTTGCCAGGGAAAGAAAATATGCCATGCAGGTGAACAGTAAAGGATAAGTAGTTTACTCTTCTTAATTCAGGACAACATATGTACAATATGATCAGTTGTATCAGCTCACTAAATGTCCTTTCAGAGAGACTTTAAAATGGTCCTTTCTGTGTCCATATGAGAGACTTCCTTCCAGCAGCCAAGAAGCAAATCAGTCTATCTGTCTCTGCTACTCACTTCTCTGAGCACCTGCATAGCTGGAGCCTGAACAAAAATGCAACATCATCCAAAAGTTCCAGGCTCAGCCATCACCCCGTGCATTGCCTGACTTGTCAGCTTCAGGCATCTTATTTTACAGTTGACACACACACACACTCACTGATTTCTTGCATGCTCCAACAAGTTTCTCTCTAGTTTGAGTAGTTGTCCCCCAGAAGATCTAGCTTTTTGGGACTGACAATCAGCAAAAGGCAAAGTATCCAATTGTATGTGAGAGAACCTGCATGTGGATATTCAGGTTTGGCTCTGTTCACATTTTTCAGATGAGCATATGGAAGTTGGAGCAGGTTAAAAAGTCCAGCTCCATTCCCACTTCAAACATCAACAATATTGAGATTCCAAATAATGAATTTGGGTTTAAGTCTGTTGGCAAAGCTGGGGTACGAGTTTCAATCCCATGTTTGTTGCTGCATTCTGCCTTGCAGATTGATTGCCTAAAGATGTTTCAAGGGAGAGAGTGATTCCCTTCCAGAGACAGTCCTGTTGCAGTCTGGTTGACCATCACCCTATGCGAAAGATAATGAACCAAATTTTCCATATAAATGTCTATAGGATCTCTTTATGCATATGTTTGCCTATTTACTTCAGTCATTATCATTTCAACAAATACTATTACTAGCAAAACAAATCAATAATTGAAAACCAGAAGAAATGTATAGAAATATGTATGAATATTAATTTCTTCCATAGTGTATGAACTCATAATTTTGTTTCCATGGAAATATTGTTGTTGTTCACTGGAGGGAAAGATACTAGAGACAAAGTTGAAGTACTTTGGCCACATCATGAGGAGACAGGAAAGCCTAGAGAAAACAATTATGCTGGGGAAAGTGGAAGGCAAAAGGAAGAGGGGCCGACCAAGGGCAAGATGGATGGATGGCATCCTTGAAGTGACTGGACTGACCTTGAGGGAGCTGGGGGTGGTAACGGCCGACAGGGAGCTCTGGCGTGGGCTGGTCCATGAGGTCACGAAGAGTCGGAGACGACTGAACGAATGAACAACACAATTGTTGTTGTTCAAATGTCATTAACATTTAACAGTGAACTAATTAATATCACTCTTTTAGAATTTTTTATGCAAACATAATTTAGTCTGAAGACCCATTCTAAAAAGGAAGAATATTTCAGAAGTTGCCATCAGATTTGTTACTGAGTGAAATCTAGACCTTTTGCATAAGAGGAATGCCCTTTCACCATATGCGGTATTGGCAGCTCATACACTAGTTCTGTCACATTTAACTTTGTAGTAACTTAAACTCTTATTAGTACGCAATGTTCAAAAAGAACAGTTCTGTGCAAATGTAGCAGAAAACATTAGAAAGTTACTTTTTTGGACAGGAGCTTGTAGAAACTCCCAGCCAAGTTGTCCACTGAAGATTCTGAGTTCTATTCCAAATAATTAATTTTTTCAAGCTCTGATGAAAATAATATAGTGTCCTTTGGTGAGGTCTTATTCATAGAATCATAGAATCATAGAATCATAGAGTTGGAAAAAACCTTGTGGGGCATTCAGTCCAACCCCCTGCCAAGAAGAAGGACAATCATGTTCAAAGCACCCCCAACAGATGGCCATCTAGCCTCTGTTTAAAAGTCTTCAAAGAAGGAGCCTCCACCACACTTCAGGGTAGAGAGTTCCACTGCTGAACAGCTCTCACAGTCAGAAAGTTCTTCCTAATGTTCAGGTGGAATCTCCTTTCCTGTAGTTTGAAGCCATTTTTCTGCATCCTAGTCTCCAGGGCAGCAGAAAACAAGTTTGCTCCCTCCTCCCTATGACTTCCTCTCACATATGTATACATGGCTATCATGTCTCCTCTCAGTCTTCTCTTCTGCAGGCTAAACATGCCCAGCTCTTTAAGCTGCTCCTCATAGGACTTGTTCTCCAGATCCTTGATCATTTTCGTTGCCCTCCTCTGGACACTTTCCAGCTTGTCAATATCTCTCTTCAATTGTGGTGCCCAGAATTGGACACAATATTCCAGGTGTGGTCTGACCAAGGCAGAATAGAGGGGGTAGCATGACTTCCCTGAATCTAGACACCATACTCCTATTTATGCAGGCAAATATCCCATTGGCTTTTTTAGCTGCAACATCACATTGTTGGCTCATGTTTAACTTGTTGTCCACAAGGACTCCAAGATCTTTTTCACATGTATTACTGTCGACCCAGGAGTCCCGCATTCTGTATCTCTGCATTTCATTTTTCTGCCTAAATGGAGTATCGAGCATTTGCCACTGTTGAACTTCATTTTGTTGGTTTATTCTCTTAAGAATTGATATTATTTATTAGTCCCTACTGGAATTAGTTGTTGTATTTTTATGTATTTCCAAGATAATTATTTTTTGTGCAAGCTGAACACTCTTATTTGTGTCAAGGGGGAAGCTGTATTCAAAGGAATAGCTGCATTGTGGTCTTAGCCATGTTCCTAAGATTTATATTCAACATTTGACAGACTAAAAGTTGAGACACTTGTGGCCAAGTAACATTAGATTGTGGCTAAGATAGCAAAAGTTATTAATGGGGAAGACTTCAGCAGTTTGCTTTTGTTTGAATCTACTACTAGGAAGGCTCCCCTTCCTCTTTGACCCCCAGTTAATTGAGTACAGTCTATTTTTTTTCAGTTTGAACAAAGTTTGCAGCAACTGAAAAAAATGAGGACCAAGGGGGAAGTGGGAGGAGGAGAGACAGATTAGGACAATTTCAAAGCATCTGCCAAAGTGGAATAACAGTATAAATCAAGAACCTCTCTGTAGGACAGTTGAAAGGTATTAAGGCTGCACTTTTCTTTCTGTTCCTCTTCTTATTTTTTTTATAAACAATTAGACCAGGGAAGAGCTACATTAGCTATGTAATCCTGTTATTTTTTAATGCAGTTTGCCCATTCCCATGAGTCACACATGAAGCAGTCTCACCTAATTCAGAATCATATGTTCAGATTTGCTGTGTTTTAGACTGCTGAGGAGGCCCAAATGAAAATTAAGTGATATGATACTCCTTTTGAAGTATTCCACATGGATTCAAAACTTCATTTAACACATTTGTTTAACCGTTAGTCATGAAAATAATTAGTTGAATGATAAGGACTATGAACATGACAAGTTACAGGTGTCCAACATACATTTATACCTGCAGCAAAGTTATATTGCTTATATTGTTTAATTTTTTATGCATATCTTATGTATAATGGTTTTAATGATTTTAAGTTAATAGTTATATGTAGTAATTAGTTATTATGATTTTTGTTGTACATGCTGCATTGAAATTTTTCCATTAGTATGTTGCAAAAATTCATTAGTATGTTGCAAAAATTTCTCACCCCAGAGGTGAGAAAGACGGTATATAAATATAGTAAATAAATACAGACAGGGTCACTTATATATATTTTTCAAAAGGAATAACACTCTAAATAATTGAACTGTGAAAATAAATCTAACACATTCTTTGATTCCTTTCCTAACCATAGTTTTATAATAATAATTTGCTTTTGTAGGCCTCTGCATCATGTAAGCATGAACCCCTCTTCTGCTTGCTAATAAGATGAATGCCAGTTCTCTTAAGAAATATATTAAAATATATTAAATATATTAAAAACTTTTTTTATGTAGATTCAACGAGCAGCTGCAGTACTATCTAATCTATCATGAGTTACCCTCTCATCCTTATTAGTACTTATCCTTACACATTCTCGGGATCACTTTCACAGTCTTAGTAGCCACGAAAGAGGAAGCATGATTGATCACTTCCTCTCCATCTGCATGTAAGTCAGTGGATATTGAGTAAAGTTAGTATGGAGCCCCCAGCGGCGCAGGGGGTTAAACTGCTGAGCTGTTGAACTTGCTGACCAAAAAGTCAGCAGTTGGAATCCAGGGAGCATGGGTGAGCTGTTGTTAGCCCCAGCTTCTGCCAATCTAGTAGTTCAAAAACATGCAAATATGAGTAGATTAATAGGTACTGCTTTGGTGGGAAGGTAACGGTACTCCATGCAGTCATGCTGGCCACATGACCTGGGAGGTGTCTATGGACAACCCCGGCTCTTCGGCTTAGAAATGGAGATGAGCTCCAGCCCCAGAGTTGGATACAACTAGACTTAATGTCAAGGGGAAACCTTTACATTTAGAGTATTATAGGGTGAGACAAGTGTTAGTAATATCAGTTGTCCTGTTCTATAGCACACAGTGCCATTATACAGTGTAACATTATTCTACTAATTCTTTGCTAAATAGAAAAGATGATTGGTGAAGGCTATCAGTCCTGAAGGCAGGACACTCATTTAGAGGGAAGACACAGACAACTCTATTTGTTTAATACATTTTCATCATTTTCCAGCTCTCATAATAATCGATCATCTGCTATGGTTACTTCACTTTACCTAACAATAGGGCCATCCCTATTGTCTTGCTGTCCTGACATTTATTTATTGAGGATGTAACAAATCTAGCAGTGATTTCTGATGATAACTGATGGAGTGTTTTGTCATGCACAAAATATGATGGGCCCTGTGTCCGCCTCCTTTTCCATTTCATCTTCCATGTCTTTTCTTCCTCCCTCCTTCTTCCCAACTGTCTAATTTGGCAGGGATAGTCTTGGGCAATCCTCTGTCATCTTCCTTTTTCAACTGCTTTTCAAATGCCCCAGTTGTCCTTTTTTCTCTCCCAATTCTTCCAGTTTTGACAACAAACTACTTCCATTGGATGATGAAAACATTTGGTCCCTTCCAATCTGTGTTCATAAAACGAACAACATTTTGTAGAGGAAAACATCAGAAAAAAGTTCCCCCTTTAGCAAGCAGTTTCAAATTGAACTTGCTTTAATTAAGTTGTACTGAAATCAATGTTTTCAAGTTAACTTTAACTGATTGCCAATGCTGGAAGCGGATTCTTGGACTGTGCTGCCTTTGGCTCAAATTAAGCCTGTAGATTTAATGTGCTGACAAAAGTAAGAAATAGTTATGAAATAAAAATAAAATGATGATACCCCAGAGATCGTTTTGTTTCTGAAGTGACAGAAAAAGACTTCTTGGGCCAATACAAAATTAGCTGAACAACAAGAACTCTGAATTTTCAGGTTTGGGAAATGCAGTGGCGTCTTGTTCGTAACTGCAGCATACTTTCATTCTGGAACTATGGATTATTCTGTACTCAGGCACTCTTTTCCCTTGGTATATTTCAGCTACTAAAGTGAAAGAAAGTGAGAGCTGAACACTTTATCTGTATTACTTAGGTCAAGAGGAAAGGAATTAGCCACAGGATGATATTTTCAATACTAGGTAAAGCACAGTAGCATCCTCTGCTGGTTGTCAAAAGTACAATTGGGATATTGTCCTGTAATCATCATCATCACTTTCAGGGTGACCATAAGATCTCCATTTGTACAACACTGTATATTTGATATACTTAATGTTCTGTACTCAAAGAAATGCATGAGAACATAAAAGGAAAACTTCTTCTGTTCTTCAGGAATACGGTTTAAAACATGCCCTTAGACATTTTGAACCTGCCCTATAGAACTTAATAAAGTTTTCTCTTTTTTCTTTCTTTTTGTATGTCTCCTTAATCCAAGCCTCAGAAGAGGAAGGTGGGAAACCTTTCCAGTGTCCAATATGTGGCCTGGTGATAAAACGGAAGAGCTATTGGAAGAGACACATGGTGATTCATACAGGCTTGAAAAGTCATCAGTGCCCTTTGTGCCCATTTCGCTGTGCACGCAAGGACAATCTCAAATCACACATGAAGGTAAGGTCAGGGGATACAGACAATGAAGAAGTCTAATCCATAATCTATAAGACTGTTGTCAGGGATTTAATATCCACCGCCATTAAAATCCTACACATTTTTAAATCACTGGTAAAACTGTTGTGATTTCTTTTTTATCAAGTAGACGGCTTGGGTGGTGACAGCAGTAACCTTATTGCTATCTGTAACAAATATTTGCTCACTTTTGGCTACCATCCAGTGAACCCATTTGCCTACATGCAAGGGACTGTATGCATACAACTAAGCACTATAATGTGTTGTCAAAGGCTTTCATGGCCAGAATCACTGGGTTGCTCTGAGTTTTCCAGGCTGTATGGCCATGTTCCAGAAGCATTCTGTTCTGACATTTCACCTGTATCTATGGCAGGCATCCTCAGAGACCCCTCAACCTCTGAGGATGCCTGCTATAGATGTGGGCAAAATGTCAGGAGATAATGCTTCTGGAACATAGCCATACAGCCCGGAAAACTCTGAGAACTGTAATATTTTCTTCAGGCAGGTCCTTTGTGGCATGTAAGTTTTATATCCAAATAAATATAAAAATACTACCTGTTTGAGACTTCGCTTGATATGTGTCTTTTGGCCTAATTTGGGTGGGGAGACAGATTTTTGGATTGTGTGATCTTTGCCTTATTTTAATTAGAACTGTGAGATTTGCTATCCAGGGGCCTGATGGAAGAGTTTTATACCAAGAGCGAACAAATAGTTAAACCAGGAATTTGTTTTGAGGATTCAAAAGTGAACAGAGCTCCCATTCTATCCACAAAACCCATTAAAGTCATTTCAGACTCTTTCATTACAGTACAATAATTAAGGGGAGGGTGTTATCTTTTTTCATTGTACTTTTGTTAAACAGTTTGGAATCACAGATCTTTCCCCCATCTATTGTATATTACTAAAATATTTGTTGTTGAAGGCTTTCATGGCCGGAATTACTCTAAAATTGGGAAAGTAAATTAATAACAACATCCAGAAATCAGGGAAATTTCAGACAGGAAACAAACAGGGCCAGATAACACCTCCCAACAAAGGATTCTCTCAGGCAGGAAGCAGCTAGGCTTTGAAGCTGCAAGGCTATTCAATGCTAATCAAGCTGGCCAATTGCATCATTCTCACTTGCCTCAAACAGACAAGAGTTCTTTCTCCCACCTGGGACATTCCACAGATATATAAACCCCACTTGCCTAATTTCTAACAGACCTCACAACCTCTGAGGATGCCTGCCATAGATATGGGAGAAACGTCAGGAGAGAATGCTTCTGGAACACCACCACACAGCCTGGAAAACTCACAGCAAACCACTAAAATATCTGATTGGTCAGATGATATAAATCTGGCATCATCTGTTTAATACATACATCTACAATACCAGGGTATATAGAGAAGGAAATTTGATTATCCATAACAGAAATCAAAGAGAGGTCAGGCATGAAGAAGGTACACTATTTCCGAGCTACCTGTAACACATAGTTGTAGCTTGACTGAAAATTGACAATAACAAATTAATATTATTTGTGCACGTAAGGCATATGTTGCAAGGAACAACAGAAGTTCCTAGTTTCACCATGCAGCCAGTTTTTATAGGCAAAACAATGAATAAAATACTTAGGGCCTCATCCCAAAGGCCTGGCTTTGTGGCGAAAACAGAGGGGAAGCAGGATGATTCAGCCACCCTGCATGCAGCTCCCCCTCAGTGACACTTTCCCCATTGCACATGGGAAGTGTTGCCATTCTGCAGAGGATCCGTGCTGATTCCATTGGAGCCAGCACAACACAGTGTCCAATGACACTTCCACCCTAATTGGGGGCAAGGCCTCCACCAGAAGTCACACAACGTTGTGTGATGGCCAGTGTGGGGCTCCGTTCCCAAGACAGGGTGCAAGCAGTTTAGGATGCTGATTTAGGTGAGTACAATGAGGTCATTAGTAACACACTTAAAAGCCACCTATTTTGACCTAATGACCTTCCTATATGAGTTCCACTCCTATAATTTCTAGCCATCATGGCACAAAAAGGCACCAAGTTGCAGAAGGCTGCTTTAAACCATGATGAAGCAAGTAACAGTCATAGGCTTCAAGTAATTCATCAGGTACACTTGGCTACCTAAGACAAAAATGTCAACCCTTCTGTCTCTCTGCTGTCTCCACTTCTGTAAATGTCTCATTCTATAACACACAGTACCATAATACAGTGTAGAATTATTCTACTAATTCTTTGCTAAATGGAAAAGATATCTAACATCAATAGACTTTTCTTACATGTAAATGTGCTGAATATTCATCATCATAGGCGACCATTAATGGCGAACTATGATTGTCTTCCAGAGGGTAATGTCTTGGCGTTGAGTCCATAAGTGACTATGAAGACCTTTTCTGGATCTACATGTTCTTTCACATTGAGGACATAGATTCCTAGATTGGAAAGTTCTCACGACAATGGTTTGCTTGAGGGGCCTTCTTCCTCTTGGCATATTTATCCCTTTCTTCCTCTGTTCATGCCTCTTCAAAATCTATAGCACTGTTGGTAACAACTCCCAGTTAAAACGCTCAAGTGTCAGGGCTTCCCAGGGCAGATTTAGACCCTGGAAAACCCTGGTTTGTGGTGAATTAATTTGATAGTGGGTTTATTCCACGCATTCTTGGAATAAACCCACTACTTCTGGTGTTTGCACTGCAGAATACTGCAGTCCAGACAGTATTCCCATGGTTTTCCTGGCTAAATTAGCCTTGAAAACTGTGGGAATACCAGCCCCTTCCCCAAAACCCCTTAAAAGCTCTTTTAAAAAGAAAAGTATTTATCCGGCCTCCTTTGGAGAGCTGCTGGTGCATAGAAATGACACACCAAGAAAAAGGGGAGGACGGAGGAGGAAAATCGCTCTCCAATGGAGGCTGGGTGAATCCTTTTTTATTTAAAAGGGCCTTTTTGGGGAGGGGGGTAGAGTGTCCCAGTGTTCTCCCAGCTATTTGGACATCCACCCCGGGAACATCCGTATTTTTTAAACATTAATGCTTCTGGGATAAAGCCTTGTTTGGAAAGGCCGCCAGTTCTCTGTGTTTATTCCACATTTTTTAATGTTAGTTTTAAGCCCATCTTTAAATCTTTTTTGCTGTCCACATAGTAAAGTACCTGCTTTGGGAGATGGTGATTGGACATTTGGACAATGTGGCCAGTCCAGTGAAGTTGATAATGGAGAATCATCTTTTCAGTGCTGGTGGTTTTCACTTCTTCCAGAATGCTGATGCTTGTCCGCCTGTCTTCCCCAAAAAATTTTTGCAGTATTAATTTGTCAAACAAAACACTTCTGTAATCTTTCCAAAACTCAAGAGCTACGTTTGTAGCTGGTCCATATTTTGTAAGTGTACAATAAAGTTGGAGGGACAATAACTTTATAAACAAGCAGCTTGGTGTCCCCACAAATGTCCCTATTGTATCTCTGCCTTCCCCACTATTGCAAATGTCTCCAAATATCCATTCAGAATTATGGACGCCATTAACTAACTAGAGACTCCCTACAGTAGTCAGCAGCCCAGAAGAATGGAGATAAAGATATCTAAGATCAATACACTTTTCTTCCAAGTAAATGTGCTGAGGATTTGCATTCACTGCAGGGTATTAAGACTAGAAGGACTGGTTCATTGGCACAAAAATTTATAAATCTTCCAGGAAATTGTTGCTTTTGGAACTAAGCTGGATAGCATTGTGCCTTGTAGTCTGCTGTTGAATAATTCTGTGACTTTTAAAATGTGACCTCTGAACAAAAATCCATATAGTGAAATATTCATCATTAAATTCTTGCATATATAGAGGGAGAGCCAATTTACGCTCACAATACCAACTACCCTGGTTAAGGTCACTGAGAATGGCAAATAAGAAATAGAATCCCACATAAAGGCTAAGGAGACAGGAAATGAAAAGAGCCCAGAGAATGTAAGTATAGTATTTTTTTTGAAAGATGTATTACTATTGGTATGGTTATTAATATTATTATTTCTGTTCACACTTGCTCAGGTTCACCAACACCAAGACCGGGGGGAAACATTTCAGTGCCAGCTATGTCCGTTTACTTCTTCTCGCCACTTCAGCCTGAAACTCCACATGCGTTGCCATCAACACTTCTTGAGGACAGAAGCCAAAGTGAAGGAAGAGGTCCCAGAAATGGATGTTAAAGTGTCACCCCTGCTAAATGACAACTCCAGATTGGGGCAGCAAGGAGATGGAGGAACTGATCACACAGGGGCTGTGGCCATGGCTTCAAAAACACCTGAGGCAGTTGGGCAAGGAGGAGGTGCCATCCCTCCTCTGCTGGTTAAGGAAGAGCCCAAAGATGACAACAATACCCCATCCTTCCCTCTCGGTGTTGTTGATAGAATCACCACCAACAGCACTAAGCTAAAAGACTCCATTGACTTTGTGACCAATACAGCGTCAGCACTTTTCAGCCAGGATATCTCTGTGAAGATGGCTTCAGATTTTCTCATGAAACTCTCAGGTAGGGATGGGTGTAATTGACCAGTTGCAATATGTGCCCCTTTCTCATTTTTAACATTCATAATTCCATATATATCCATGTAAAATATCCTCTTAAAATCTGTGTTTAAATATAGATTTAAATCCACATTAAAATATTATGTGTCTAAAGGAATATTTTAATTTGCTGACACTGCTGAGAACTACATTACAACTTTATGCGTAGCTCAAAATCCAGAGTACAGCCACGATCCAATATTTGCATCTATCTAAGGCAGTTGCTCTCAACCTTCCTGCGACCCCTTAATACAGTTCCTCATGTTGTGGTGACCTTCAACTATACAATTATTTTTGTTGCTACTTCATAACTGTAATTTTGCTACTTTTATGAATTGACATGTAAATATCTGATACACAGGATGTATTTTCATTCAATGGACCAAATTTGGCACAAATATCTGATATGCCCAAATCTGAATACTGGTGGGGTTGGATTTGGAGGATTGGAGGGGGGGGGGTGATTTTGTCATTTGGGAGTTGTAATTGCTGGGAATTATAGTTCACCTACAATCAAAGAGCATTCTGAACCCCACTAACAATTGAATGGGACCAAACCTGGCACACAGAACCCCCATGGGCAACAGAAAATGCTGGAAGGGTTTGGTGGGCATTGGCCTTGAATTTTGGAGTTGTAGTTCATTTACATCCAAAGAGCACTGTGGACTCAAACAATGATGGATCTGGACCAAACTTGGCACGAATACTCAACATGACCAAATGTGAACACTGGTGGAATTTGGGGAAAATAAACCTTGACATTTGGGAGTTGTAGTTGCTGGAGTTTATAGTTCACCTACTATAAGAGCATTCTGAACCCCACCAATGATAGAATTGGGCCAAACTTCCCACACTGAACCACATATTGTGTTTTCTTATGGTCTTTGATGACCCCTATGACACCCCTTGCGATCCCCCCATAGGGTCCTGACGCCCAGGTTGAGAAACACTGATCTAAGGAGTGTTGATCAAACCATTGTGCAGAATGAATTTATCTCCTCAGTAATTTAGAAATATACTGCATTCTTCCTTTTCCTAAAATAGTCTCATATTTGTGTTCTTGTTTAAACATATGGATGTCTGTGTCACAACTTTTCATGTTTATGTTGATAATGTAATTATGTAACATCCCATACAATGAAGTCTTGCAACACCTGAAATAGGTAGACGTTTATTGTGGTTCACTTTTGATTCAGTACATATTTAATCCATAGATATCATTTATATAATAACATTGTAGTCCTTTACACCAGGGATACGTCACTTTCTCAGGACCAGATTTCCCCACTACAATCATTAATTGTGATCTGCAGCAAGCCTAGAAATGACAAAACAAATGGGGAAAATAGGGAAACCAATCATGATTGCATATTAATGTCCAGTCTTACTTTTTTTTTTTTGAAGAAAGAGGATTGGAAACTCCTGCAATTTTAAGTCACATCCTGCTACAACTTTGCCCACCTCTGCTACTATCACTTACCATAAGACACCTTTGAATAGATTTTAGTGTTAGTCTTTAAGATGCTGAAAAACTGACTGATCTAGATTCCTCTCTAAAAAGAAATATAGTAAATGACCCCAATATCTGAATTTGAGCATTTGCTTTGGTTCCAACCTATCTCCTATGAACTGATGCGGACCTTGAGATCTGCTGAGGAGGCTCTTCTCTTGGTCCCATTACTGTCACAGGTACGATTGGTGGAGATGAGAGAGAGGGCCTTCTCGGTGGTAGCTCCCCAGCTCTGGAATGCCCTTCCTAGATTAGCCCCAAATCTCCAAACCTTCCATTCGAGCCTTAAAAAATGGCTGTTTATGTGGGCCTTTGACCTGGAGTAATGTATTATCATCATGTGATGACTTCAACCATTGTTCTTCGGCACTTTAGTTCATGTGTGAAGAAATCAAATGACCCACAGGTATTACTGTGTTTTAGAATTTTTTAAATTTTTAATATTATTGATTGACATTGTCCATTGTTTGTATTCAGTGAAATTGTATATTGTTTTGATAATATGTAATTCTGTTTTATGTGTGGCACCTTGAGTGCTTTGTTAGCTGCCCTGAATCTCTTCAGGGAGATGGTGGTGAGGTACAAATCAAGTTTTATTATTATTATAGATTGTAAAAGGATATCTGAATTCACTACCATTGGTTTCTACATTGGTCAAGTGCCTGGAATGATATCCAAGGCTTTCTGGAACCAGAACCGCAGGAGGCAGATTTGGACTTCTGCCTGTTTTCATGTCCCGTCCCCACCCCCCTCTATATATATCTGTGTTAGGTATCTTCAATTATAGTATGCAAAAGAATCTTGTAGCACCTTAAGGGTTAACTGAGATAACAAAGGTGATAACATAAGCTTTTGTCGACTGTGCTACCAACTTCATTCTCTTGGTTAGTTTCTAAGGTGCTACAAGATCCCTTTGTATGTTGATATTTCAGATTAACCCGACTAGTCCGAAATTGTGTTATACATTTATGTTAAAAAAAAAAGACAGCATAGATCTGGAAAACCTTGAGAGTTCTCCTTTTCCGAGTGCTTAGGGCTACAGTCTGCAAGTATAAGAGAGTAATTTTGTAAAAACAAGTTGGCAGCGAAACTTTAGAATCTAAAAAATTAAGGAATGAGTATTTAATAGTTTATTTATTCAATAGTTACGTTAATGTCACGACTTTCCTGCAGTGAGCTGGGAACATATATGGCTTTCCTCTTCCCCATTTATTGTCATAGTCACCCTGTGAAGGTAGGTCAGATTTAGAGAGGGTGACTAGATTTCCAAGGCACACGTTGTCAGAATTATTTCTGAACAAACTTGTGCTTGTCTCAAATTAGCCAATCCTAATTTGCATAGGATTTTATCGCCATATAGTGTTAGGGGAATTTTTAGGATTTCCCAGTGAGATGTGATGGGAGACAGCCAACAAAAAACCAAGTGCTGTAGGCTGTATTTTATAGGTAGGACCTGGCAAAACCACCTCTTGATTGTATTACTTACCTAAGAAAACCTTTATGGGATTGTAATGAATTGTCCTGTAACTTCAAGGTGCATGCATACAGATATTTTTAGAATTCAGGTCACATTATTATCTCACCCTCCTTTAAATTTATTTGATGGGGGAAGGCATTATTACGATCAAGGATTTTCACATTTTAAGAGCCAAGCCTGCTGGCCTAATGTATCTGAAATCTATATATTCCACTGCTGTAAACATTTAGATTTATGCTGCATTCCGTATATCTCCCAATTTAAATTAAGTATATGTTATATCTTTGGTGCTTTACAAGTATTAAATTAATAATAATACATCCTGTGATCGTGCGGGGAAAGTGTGTTTGTTGGCAGTGAGAAGAGGGCCTGGATGCTGAATGCTCCGCCATTCTTAATGCAATTTTTTATTCAGAAATTGACAAGTTACTCTTTAGTGTTTAGCAGACAGGAATACTAAGGACCCAGTCGTGCATTTTTCATGCAAAAAGCCCCCTGAGCTTATTTTATAGTGTCTTAACGAAAGGTCCTGAAGCCTGACTTGTGTGCAGTGTTACCTAGCAACATGTTATAAAGTCACTGAAGGAGTGAGATATATCTCCAAGATGAAAATGTAAACTTGATAGATATGTCAATGCCACACAAGGGGAAAGATGTTATGTTAAAGTAAGAAATTAAACCCATTGATCAGAGCAATGTATATCTAAAATAGCGTACATTTGACCAGCGCCATGGTACTTCACTGAGTTCCAACCCATAAAGCAGTATGCAATTATGTTTTATTTAGTGAGCTTGGAAAATGTACTACCAACATTTTAAGTAAGCATTTCTATTTATTATAATATGAACAATAACAACAAAGGAGAGGTAGCCTGAGGGTGGTTCAGTTATCCTTTCTCCTCCACCCCATGGAAAATTGCGTACTTTGGCCTAGATCAATAGATTGCAGGCATCCCTCCAAGTGAGCAAAATGGAAGGGGTTATTAAAGAAGGAAAGGTGCCAAAGATAGGCAATTATGTGTCAGATTCATACAATCTGCTTACACTGCCTCTGAAGTCATGATTTGGAAACCTATATGGGCAGACCCATCTCTTATTCCACAGAGGTCTCTTCTCTGTTATTCTGAAGCCTTAGAGATCTAAAATGGTGTGTGTGTGCATGTGCGTGTGTGTGTGCGTGTGTGTGTGCATGAGACTCCAAAGGACATTACTGTCTAAAATAGCCTTTAAGGCTTTGCAGTTCTGGAGTAGCAGCTAAGGGTGAAGTAGTACCTTTTCCCAATAAATGTGTATTTAAGATCGTCTTCTAGAATGGGTAGCCAAAACTTGTTTTCCCAAGACACAAATATGCTGGTTAGGTTAGGTTTACATATCTGATGGAGGACTTTGTGAGGTTGGATAGCCATTTGTTAGAAGTGCTTTGATTGTGTCCTGCTGGCAAGGATTGAACCACATCAGTGCTTCTCAACCTTTGGACCTCCTGGTGTTTTGGACTTCAACTCTCACAATTCCTTTCAGATGCTAAATTGGCTGGGATTTCTGGGAATTGAAGTCCGAAATACCAGGAGAACCAAAGATTGGGAACCACTGAACTAGATGGTCCCTGTGGCCTCTTCCAGTTGTATGAACTTTTTGTTTTATTTCTAAGGAGTGGATTCTGTTGAGATGAATATCCCAGCTAAAGCCTTTAAGAGACTTTCAATTGTACCTGCCTCTTCCAAAATACATTCTGTTGTTGATTGATGCACATTGTTTTTCTGACAGTACTAATATCCAGAAGGAATTATCTTTGTTTTATCTGTCAGAGGTAAATAAGTCTTCATTTTCGAAGAACATTGAAAACTTTGTGGATGATCTGCGCCGGGAGCTGGACAGGGGGAGTGTGTCCCTGTTGGTTCTACTGGACCTCTCTTCGGCCTTCGATACTGTCGACCACGGTATCCTTCTGGGACGCCTCGCAGGTATGGGTCTTGGAGGTACTGCTTTGCAGTGGCTCCGGTCCTTCCTCGAGGGTCGCTCCCAGAAGGTGTCACTAGGGGACTCCTGCTCGACTCCTCGGCCATTGTACTGTGGAGTCCCGCAGGGTTCAGTACTGTCCCCTATGTTGTTTAACATATACATGAAGCCGTTGGGAGAGATCATCCAGAGTTTTGGGGTGCGGTGTCATCTGTACGCAGATGATGTCCAACTCTATCACTCCTTTCCACCTGCTACTAAGGAGGCTGTTCAGGTCCTGAACCAGTGCTTGGCCGCTGTGACGGACTGGATGAGGGACAACAGATTGAAACTAAATCCAGACAAGACAGAGGTACTCCTGGTCAGTCGTAAGACCGAACAGGGTACGGGGTTACAGCCTGTGCTGGACGGGGTCACACTCCCCCTAAAAGCTCAGGTACGCAGTCTGGGAGTTCACCTGGATTCATCGCTGAGCCTGGAACCCCAGGTCTCAGCGGTGGTCAGGGGAGCTTTCGCACAATTAAAACTTGTGCGCCAGCTGCGCCCGTACCTTGGGAAGGCTGACTTGGCCACTGTAGTCCACGCTTTGGTTACATCCCGTTTAGACTACTGCAACGCTCTCTACGTGGAGTTGCCTCTGAAGACTGCCCGGAAGCTGCAGCAAGTCCAACGTGCGGCAGCCAGATTACTAACGGGTGCTGGGTACAGGGAGCACACCACTCCGCTGTTACACCAGCTCCACTGGCTGCCAATTAGCTTCCGAGCACAATTCAAAGTGCTGGTGTTGACCTATAAAGCCCTAAACGACTCCGGCCCTGTTTACCTCTCCGAACGTATTCTCCCCTACGAACCATCAAGATTACTAAGATCGTCTGGAGGGGCCCTGCTCTTGGTCCCGCTGGCCTCACAAGCGTGGTGGGGACGAGGGACAGGGCCTTCTCGGTAGTGACCCCACGACTCTGGAACTCTCTCCCGCCAGAGGTTAGAACCGCCCCAACAATCCTGACATTCAGGAAACAGGTGAAGTCGTGGTTATGGAGACAGGCTTTCGAAGAATGAGACAATGATCTGGATGGAAGACGGTGTATATTCAATTTTAGTATGACGACTGACCACTGTAGTTTTAAATATATGTGCTTTTTAAATGTTTTATTGTAATGTGTATTTTGATATTTTACCGATTGTATGTGTTTTTATGGTTGGAAACCGGGCTGAGTCCCTCTTATGAGGTGAGAAGCTCAGTATATAAAACTTTGAAATGAAATGAAATGAACTTTGGAATGAAAAGAAAAATGAACTACTAATTTCACAGTAGTGCCTTTATGTGTGCTTCTTCGTTATATGTCATGGATGTTGCGATTACATCTGATGGTCTTCCACTATAGTGAGTGGCTGCCTCTTGTACTGGACCATCAGCTCTTTAGCTGGACGCAATACAATACAAACCATCCTTTCCAACCTGCCACTCTTTAGATAAGTTTGACTTCAATTCCCATCAACCTAAGCCAACACAATTAAATTTTAGGAATGCAGGGAGTTATAGTTCAAAATATCTCAAAGGCATTTTCTTGGGGAAGGCTGTTGCAGACTGATTCTGCTCTAAGATGTTAACTGAGACAAATGGCTCTGGCTCTGACTCCCAGCTTGATTCTTTGGCTCCACTCAGGTCCTGGCCTCCTGACAGCTGTCTGTGTCTCAGCTGATCATCCTATGCCGATCACTCTCCATTTTCCTGTTTTAATCCAGAACATAGTTCCTTTGGATACTGTTCCTTCCCCCTCCTTACAGCCTCCTCCTGCCAACAGAAAGTTGTATTATATATGTGGGATTTACTCTTAGGTAAACTAGCATAGTCTACTTTTTTCCATCACTAATTGTAAACTGTACACTGAAGCAAATCCTTTATTAACTGTAATTAATAACAGTACTTGAATAGTATTTCTAGACCTTCCCCCTCTGTTATTGCCTTGACCTTTTGGCTCACATGATTGGTCATATACAAGCCCTCATACACACACTCTGTTAGTGGATAAAAAGGCTCTGATGGTGTAAAGATGAAATATCTGAGGCCCTTTCATCATGAATGTGGACTTTAGAGCTCAGTAAAAGAACAGTTGCTATTCAGTTGTCCTGGCGAATCCAGGCATTTTTTTTTAGCAAGCTATATTCTCAGCATGAGCACATACAATTACTTTTTTTTTGGCCCTGTAGACCTTTGATTCCACACTCTAGACTAGTGCATTGACTGCAGTAGTTCTTGTGATTTGGCCAGTTGCTACTTTCCATGAGTGCCTATTTCCCTTAACACTGATAACAAGTATCACAGCCCTATCCAGTTCCATCTAGCACTGTTACGTTAAGACCTGAGAGTTGTACTGTTGCACTCCAGGCCTGGAAATACCTATTTCCACACAAGAGTCCAGGCAAACAGTTTATTGTGAAACACATGTTAAAAGCATTTAAAATTAGGAATAAGAAAGGAAGATATATAGTACAAAAAAGGTTTAGCAACAGGTGATAACCAAACGATAATCCAAATGTTTCATAAAGTTCCAGAGGTGACAAAGTACAGGAATAGCCAAAGATCACAGATACAGCATGTCCACAATCAAGAAGGCATAACTACTAGTAGAACTTGAACAGAACAACATAAACAGGAACATAGAAAACTTCCAGGATATATATATAAAATCCAAAATAAAAGCTTGACTTGAACCAGGAATAAGAGAATTCAGGCTTAGCTTCTCACTCTAATACAGTGTTGCCTGAACTGACCTTAAGGTAAACAACTTGTTGTTTAATAGACATCCATGAAACAATTCCATTTTACATGAATTTCCTTCACAACTTTCCCATGTAATCTCTCTGAGCGACGTAATCTATTTTCAGCTCTGATTGATAAATGAAGACCTTTGCTGATCTCCATAGCTACAGGTGGGTTCCCATGGGAATCCTCTTTATCACTCAGCTCTTCACTCGATTCCATATCTGCTGTTGCTACTTCTGACCCCCCTGAATGCCCTTGAGTCCCTGCACTTTCTGAGTCAGTTTTCTCACAGAGATAACCACAACTTCCCTGACTTGAGAGCCCATCACTTTGTGCCACAGGAAAGCTCATAATCCTCTCGAAATCATCACTTAAACCATCAGTAGCTGATCTACAGCATGTATGCCCAATGAACTGTGAAACTCAGAGTAGCTTTGGGCCAATCATATCCATTTATCTTGACTTTATCTCACAAGGTTGTTGTGAGGATAAACTGGAAACCAGGGCGTATGTATTATACCTTGAGACCTTTTAGATTTTAATTTTATGGCATAGTATGTAAAATATGTGGATTCCCTCATTGTATAACAGAAGGACATGAGCTCCCATGAGTCTTTGAAAACAATAATGTGAACTAACAGTGAAAACATACAGTATATAACTCACTGCCCTAGGGCAGTAATTCAGAATTTTTCTATTCTGTTGCATCATTTTTTTTTCTCATTCCCTGCTTGTTTTCCATTTGTGTAGCTTCTCTACTACTGGAGTCCTTCATGGTTTTTTTTTTGTGATAACGTTACCACTTGTATATTTGGTGGTGCTGTTAGAGAGATGGTAATTTCTGCTTCACTAGTTTTATATTTATGTTTGCAATATTTTGTGGCAATATTTAGTGCATCTCCTAAGCCCTGGCCAATTTGATTCCTTATAGAGTTCCTTCTGCAGTGCTTATCCCAGTGGTTGTTCTGTTTTGTTTTCTCCTGTGAGCTTGCTGCCTTCTGATAGTGCATTCATACAATCAAATCCCTTTCTCCCCCTCTCTTAACAGCTGCAAATCAAAAGGAACCCTTGACTCCAATATTCAAAGTGAAAGATGAACCGAAAGATGAGGAAAATGAATCCACTTTGCCTAAATCCAGTTACATTTTCAGCCAGGAACCTGAAACATCTGCTCCAAGCATTCCCGAGGAGAATCTCAAATCACAGGAAGTGCCAGCAAATGTATTACAGCAGGACATGTCAGTCAAAGCAGCATCTGAACTTCTCATGAAGCTATCAGGTAGTTGATTAACTTAAATGTGTATTCCCCTTCCCGCACTTACTTTTTCTCTGGTCCTGATTGCTGTGAAATTGTCTATTGGTTCTTCACAATTTACTATAAAGTTTCTATTGACTCCAGTATCTAACTCTTTGGGGTAGATAGGCTTTGTAACAACTATTATTATAATTCAGATTATTTTTCAGTGTCTCACACTAGGCAGTACATATATGCAGACTGCACCTTTGGGATGCTTAAGATCTCTGTAAAAACAATGAAGTAGTTATTCTGCAGCGCGCTTGCACACATGCACACACACACATATTTGTATGCACGATTCAACAGTATTCCACTAAACAGTCATATTCCCCCAAAAATCCCTATTTGAAAAATGGAACCTGCAAAAATTCTTTTAAAATTTAAGGAAATCCACACACAATCAGAAGACATTTATGAGACATTGTCCTGAGTTTATATTTATTACGAATGAGCATCACAAAAAAAACTAGTGTGAGTCTGTAACAAACATGTGACATGTATTTTTCTCTTTTATGGTTATTTTGAAATGAAAACTCTCTTTCTTAAAATGTGGTAAACATCTCATAAACACAAAGTTAGAATCAATTCACACCAGAACAATGTCGTGACAATAATTTTTTCGATTACCTTAAGATGTAGCGAAATCATGGTGCTCATACAGTAGATAACTCTAGTGCTTTGTTATTTAACCTATTTTCTATTTTATTGTAATAGTTTGATGTCATTTTATGAGACCATATTTTAATCTAAAAGAGACAAGAAGAGCTGTTATAACCTAAACTCTGTTGCTAATCTCAGTCAGAGTACACCTGTTGGGTGAATGAATAATACATTAACATTTTTGTGAATTCCATTCATTCAGTAGGTTTCCTTTGGTTGGGAATAGAGCTATGGAATGTGTATGCTTCAAGATGTTATCAGAGTGCAGTTTCTATCAATCCTAGCCAGAGTTCTTTTGTAAGACCCTACTTCACATAATGGGTGACTACACAAGGTCCTACTTGAGAAATGTCTTTTATAGGCCTTTTTCTGGTAGCAAGGCTTATCCTTTTGGAGACATTGTTCCTTTCATTATAGTCCTGGGACAGGGATGTGGCAGCTTTTTTGGAACGTGGCCATATTGGGACAAATGGGAGGGTTTCTGGGCAAAAGTATTGGCAAGCCAGATCAGACCCATATGCTGGGCAAAAGTATTGGCAAGCCAGATCAGACCCATATGCTACACACACTGTCTTGCTCTATTTTTCTCTGGTCTGGGGCATTTATCCACAAATCAATTTATCCACATCTATAATGCTGGGATGAAGACGTATTTTGTTCATGTTCTGGCATCACTTAATACATACACACATTATGATTTCCATATGTCATAATCTGGCAAAAACATCAGTGTTTCGCATCTGTGCTTTCTATTGATGAAAACGATTGTTGGGATGTTTGCCATGAAGACAAACACACAGCTGTAAACTTCTGGTATTAAGTTGGAAAGTAACATTGACCTCTCCAAGGATGCAGCATTTAGTCACTCTATCCCTGTATCTCAATGATAAAAAGCCATATTTATTGGTCATTGACATGACAGTTGGTTCAGTTCTATACTGAAAGTGTCAGAAAAGACTTCACTGTGACTTATATCTCTTCAAGAAGTGATTAAGAGGAGCCTGAATTCTACCCACATTTATATAACAGAACACGGCCCTACAACTCTACACTGAACCCCAAAAATGGGTTGTTCAGAGTGCAGATTTTCCTTTGGCAACAGTACTTTTTAAGAAGGACTATCAGTTGCTACATGTGTTCTCCAACTGTCCTAGGACCTGTCCAGACAGTACCTTTATTCCAGGAGCTTACACAGGAAACAGGAGGGTGGCAAGACGCCGTTCCCTCAAAATGTGGGAGGAAGCGCTACAAACTGCAAAAAAGCAAGATTTTTAGGTACAGTAATATCCCGGTTCTGAGCCGAGGTGGCAGTTGAGTAGATTGCGAAAACTTTGTTTGTGTGACAGAAATTTCATGGAACATGTGGAGGGCACATTTTCTCTGGCCAGGACAAAGTTGTGGCCCCCTAGGCAACATTGTACATCTTTTCACAGTAAGAGCAATCAGGAACAGACATGTATAACACAGAACAGCACAGATGGCCCTGCAGCTTATTTAAACCAGGAACAGAACTTATACAATAATTCACATGTTCCCATGTCCATATCTCAAGTTTTTTTTAATCAAACCTTTTAAAAATCTGCCGAAATTTCCAGCAGAAGTCCCACAGTGGCCATCTTGGGAGCCTCTAAATCCCACAACAAAGCAATAAATAATAATAATAATAATAATAATAATAATAATAATAATACTTTATTTATCCCCAAGAGGATTCGGGGCAGCTTACGTGAGGCCACATGAGCAAGTGTGGATAACGGAGGCAGAAATCTCAGGACCAACAGGTCTATATGTGGACCTCTTCTGAAGTCCCAGAATTTTTTGCCACTGACTAATATCCATAATTTGGTGCTGTCTGGAAGTGCCCTTAGTTTAGCCAGGATGGTCCCAATTAATCCTGTCATCTGACTTTTCCAATTGCATTTAAAATGTTTGTTTCCCTCTCTGCTTCCTATTTCCCTCAGCTCACTTCAGCAGTGGGAAAGAAGAGGGGATAGAAATTTTGCCCTTCCACTAGGCTAAGGAAAAATAACTTGCCACAGCTTTTTTCTAGCTTGTATGTCTTCATTAATAAATTTTGTCAATCTTGATCATACAACACCCAGCTATATCTGTGAAATGTTGCAAAGCTGTCTGATGTCTATCTAGCTTCTTTTTTGTCTCCTGAGCACCGTGTTCCAATTTATCCAGAAGCCCTTGTTTGGTTATACTGTGTATACAGAGTAGATTCATTATATTATAACATTTGTAAACAGTACACATGTATTGGAAAGCTCTTGATGACTGGACAGCTCTGAACGTCTCTCAGGCTATGCAGAAAAATGAGGTTGTAGCCTGCATAAAATATTCAATATGCAATTATACTTAATAGGGATTTTGAGAAAATTTTCAACAGCATTCCTGGCGATGTGAAATTTATTTTTCACTCATAAGGCACAAGTATTGGTGGGTAATGTTTTGAATATAAATATAGAAGCATGTGGTGTAAAGAAGAAAACATGTCTTCACTTCTTCTCATGAATATTAAGTGAGTGTTTCTGCAGAGGAAGGGTTTTTTTTATTATGATGACAATTTTTAATCATTGTGCATTCAGTTATGGAGAAATAAAAGGCCTTATTTATCACTCTAGTGATATGATTAATTTTTATCTCATATAGCTTACGAATTTGGGGAGGGGGGGGAGAGTAACTGTGTTAGTCACTTGCAGTAAAAATCAGCAGAGTGTCTTCTTGCACCTTAAAGAGTAACAGCTTTTTCAGGGAGCCCAGCCTACTACATCAGATGCAATGAAAAATAAAAATAGGGTAAGAAAAACACTTTTGAAGGGCCTCTAAGTGTGATTGCCAATAGGGATCAGAAATTTAATTGAGGCAACAACCAGAAAGGCTCTGGTTAGTATATTTCAACACAGGAGTAATGTTAAAGAAGAAAGTACACTTACAACAGAAGGAGGTAAGGGGTGCCTCTTTCAAAATGGCTTAAGGCTATCCTTGTATTGCTGAGATTAAAGCATTTGATGTGAGTTGCTACATGTGTGCACACACACCACACTCTTCCTGTTTCTCGGCTGTACAAACCACCAGGCAGGAAGTGCAAAAAAGAACCCTTTGTAGAGTTGTAAGATGAACACAGCACAGTGTTGCTTTATAGACCAGAGGTGGAAATTATGTGATCCATAGGCTACATGCAGCCTTCAGAAGTGAGGTTTCCATGTGGCTCTTGAAAGCCACTCCATCCTATTTCAACCAAAAAGCCACTCCTTTATAAAAAGAACAACAACCCTGATCACTTATTTATTTATTTATTTATTTTATTACTGCGCTTGTATACCGCTGTTTCTCAGCCTACATTGGCGACTCAACGCGGTTTACAACACTACAATAATCAACAATATACAATTTAAAAAGCATAAAAACACATACACAATACACAGTATTGGGCCACCAATACAAACCAATGCATCTCTTAACTAAAATCATAATCCAATTTCATCGTCTGTGGTTACCAGTCCTTGATCATCAACTTCATTGCATCGGATTAGCCGAATGCTTGTTCAAACATCCATGTCTTCAGTCTTTTTCGAAATACCATCAGTGAGGAGGCTGATCTTATCTCTATGGGGAGGGCATTCCAAAGCCGAGGGGCCACCACAGAAAAGGCCCTGTCTCTCGTTCCCGCCAGCCGCACCTGTGAAGCAGGTGGGATAGAGAGCAGGGCCTCCCCCGAAGATCTTAGGGTCCTGGTGGGCTGATAGGCCGAGATACGTTCGGATAGATATGTTGGGCCAGAACCGTTTAGGGCTTTAAAGGCCAACGCCAGCACTTTGAATTGGGCCCGGTAGCAAATCGGCAGCCAGTGGAGCTGGTACAGCAGAGGAGTTGTATGCTCCCTGCGCCCCGCTCCTGTTAGTACCATGGCAGCCGCCCGTTGGACTAATTGGAGCTTCCGAGCCGTCTTCAAAGGCAACCCCACGTAGAGAGCGTTGCAGTAGTCAAGACGGGATGTAACCAGAGCGTGGACTACCGTGGCCAAGTCAGACTTCCCAAGGTACGGCCGCAGTTGGCGCACAAGTTTTAACTGTGCGAATGCTCCCCTGGTCACCGCCGAAACCTGGGGTTCCAGGCTCAGCGATGAGTCCAGGATCACACCCAAGCTGTGAACCTGCGTCTTCAGGGGGAGTGCGACCCCATCCAACACAGGCTGTAACCCTATACCCTGTTCGGCCTTGCGACTGACCAGGAGCACCTCTGTCTTGTCTGGATTCAATTTCAATTTGTTCGCCCCCATCCAGACCGTCACAGCGGCCAAGCACCGGTTCAGGACC